TCGGTGGGCCTGCTAGGGGTCCGGCGACGGCCCTGGCCTTGTACAGGGTGTTCCTACGTAGTATAGACTGCTAAAAAACACAAAGTCAGGTCTCTGGCATGGTGGTGGACAAAGCATAGTGATGTAGCAGGGAGTGCCGTGACCGCAGATTGTATGGACCCCGGCATCGGGGTTGGGGCAATGCAGTGAATGGTTATTGAGACGAGGGTGTGCGTCAATGGAGAGCGTGCGTGACATTGTCCTACGCCCCAGGACACAAGTGCCGTGACGGGCTGACGGGTGATTTTTAGCGGGAGGGGGGGAGAAAAAAAAAAAAATCATATTTTCTTACGACACTTTAGTTCAACCAGAAGCAGCTGCACTATGGGGAGCTGTATAAATATATATAATTCTCTATATATATGTAGAACTTTTTTTTTTTTCTTTTTAATGCCAGATGAGCGATGTTGAAATTTCCTTCTATAAGAATGTCGATTACACAGCCCATCACATATTGCGGCACATGCGTGTACCTATACATATATATACACTGTGTGTATGTCTGTATGATACACTTGTGTGCACTTACCTGTATGTGCGGTGCTGATGAGTGGGCGGGGCTTGCTGGTCGAGTACAGACTGCATACATTTCAGAATGATTGCCGCTTTCCCATTGGATGACTGAATATAACTTGCCATGAAGCAAGATACCTGTGTGGGAAGCCTGTTGTTCTGCTTCCCGGGTCCGTGTTTGTGAGCAGATGGGCCGGAACTAGCATGAAGCAGAATAGAATCTTTCATCAGCGGCTTCTCACATGAAACCTTTATTTTTTGTGGTGCTCCTCTCTGTAAGGCCCCATTCACACCTATATTTTAGGTACGATGAGTGATTTCCTGCAGCAGGACTTAATCTAGATGCCGCCGGCACACCAGGATAAAGACTGATGAAGGGGACCCTGTGTGCCCCTGAAAGTGCTGGTCTGAGTGACATCTGTCAATCAAATGGATTTGCACTGATAAAACTTTGTGCTGGTGACGTCTATATTCAGTTTTGCTGGAAGCAGAGCAGAGCCATCCGCAGTCATTACGTGCACCCATTGCTCTGGGTGAAGGAGTGCTGCGCGACACTTGGACATTTTCCTGCAGCAGGAATCCCTAATCTGGTGTTTACAAGCGGCAGCCGTCGCCCATTCACGTTACTGATCAGGTGACAGCAGCTGGATTTGAACACCAGCACACCGTGTGTGTGAGATCATTACATATGGTTAGGAATCAATCACCTGGACGCATCAAGCGAGAGTGATTGATTCCGAATTTGATACGATTACATGCGGTGTGCCCGAGTTTATATGCAGCGGCGGTCACGTGATCATTGATCTGAATGGGTGACAGCTGCGGCTTGTAAACGGCATGTTAGGGATTCCTGCGGCAGCAAAGGATGAGTTCCTGCGGCAGCAAAGGACGAGGAATCCCTATTGGCAACCTAAAACATAGGTGAGAATGGGGCCATAAGGGTCACCATACACATTACAGTCTGACCGTACCCTCAACTTTAGATTTACCATAACTGTATAATATGGGGATCTACCTGATCCATCCAATTCATTTGTATCCAGTCAGCTGACCTGCGCACTACTGGTTTGTAGTAGTCTAAAGGAGATTGTACAATCAGATTGTAACGTGTGCGATGAGCTGAACGTGCTCTATAAAGGAGAAGGGATCTTGTTTGTTATTGACGATGAGGGTAGAATTGCCTCAGTCTGGTTTCCATTACCACAAGATTCCATTCCTTCTCCCGGTGCAGTATGGGAGAGCTTAAAGACCCTGTCACCAGACCATTAATGGCAACGGCAATCTCACCGTGAATTGAGCATTCAATGTATTGTATGCATGTTACTTACCTGTAAAAGCCTTCCTTGTGTGGACACCCCAAAGCCCTGAGACTGGTGCTGGGTGCCGCCATCTTAGATGTGATGTCAGCAGACTCAGTGACTTAATATAATGTTCCTCCACCAGCTTATACATAAAAGGTTATGTAGCGAGTGAAGAGCTGGGCCAGTACGGACAGTAACGAGACACGCCTATAAGAGGGCAGGAGGGAGCAGGCCATGCTTTCTGGCGCATCAATTTCTCGGGCAGGTAGGGAGCAGGCCGTGCTTTCTGGCGCATCAATTTCTCGGGCAGGTAGGGAGCTGGCCGTGCTTTCTGGAGCATCATGTCTCGGTCAGGTAGGGAGCGGGCTGTGCTTTCTGGAGCATCAATTTCTCGGGCAGGTAGGGAGCGGGTCGTGCTTTCTGGAGCATCATGTCTCGGTCAGGTAGGGAGCGGGCCGTGCTTTCTGGAGCATCATTTCTCGGTCAGGTAGGGAGCAGGCTGCGCTTTTTGGAGCATCAATTCTCCAGCAAGTTCAGTGGGACGATGCAAGTCAAAATGTAAAAAAAATACTTGATGTTTTTGTGCTTTTACCTGCATTTTATATTTTGGTGACAGGGTCTCTTTAAGAATGAATTGCTGGCTGTTCTATGTAACTTCCCTTAGAACCAATGCGCTGTGTGCAGTCTGTACAGAGGGACGGTATACAGAGGCAAAGCCTTGCTGTCAGTATACAGGATGGACTCTGCTGTATATAATGGTGTATACACTGTCAGTATACATAGATAGATGCACATGTTGGCTGAGAAGGCGTTTGCTTCTCTCTTGCACTGTTCCTACTCCAATCACCGAGGGATCTGTCTGTGCTCTCATTATAGCCAATGGAAGCCGACTTCAATGGCGGGAGCGCCCTACGTACAAAGCGCTCAATGGAACAGCGTGCTCATGCCTATAGAGAAGTGATCGGGACCCATTGGCGTAGTAGTATGTAATGAGGTGCACTTCGATATGTCGGGGTATGGCGACGACCGTGTATAATAGTGAGACGTACAGCTATATATGCACAGGGTGCTTGTGCTCAGGATCCAGGGAGTGGGATTGGCCCCTTCCTATCATGTGACTTACCCTGCACCAGGGAGGGGGGACTGCCTGCTAATCACGTTGCTTTGAGTTTCAATGCTGTATTCACGTGGGTGACCCCATCCGCCCGTCTATACAAACATGCTGCATAATATAGTGCTATTAAGCTTTCCTACTCTTAGGTGCTGCAGCACAGACTTTTGTTGGGGCCTCGAGGGGCGGCAGCCGTTTTGTCCCTGTAACAGGGGCACGGGGCCCATATGGTGGCAGTGGGAGGTATTCCATCACGACGTGCAATCCGAAGGCAATACAGACGAGGAGAATCACAGGATGGAGGCTGATGCTCACCATTTCCCTCTACGCCGGGGGCTTGCTTGTTTTTAAAGATGAACTGCTCAGCAGCGGGACAGCACCCTGTATCTGCCAGGAGGACTGAATAAGAAAAAAAAACAAAAACCAAGGGGGTGCCAGCATACAATGCCCACTCCCCTGCCACCAGGGGGTGCCAGCATACAATGCCCACTCCCCTGCCACCAGGGGGTGCCAGCATACAATGCCTACTCCCCTGCCACCAGCGTACCCACAGATCAGATCGTGGAGACATCTTGCGCTTATATTTTCGTTTGTTCAAAGAAAGGACTGATACAGAACAGACATGTTGATCATGTGCAATATTTCTTACTGTATTAAAATAAAACCTGAAAAAGGACACGTGTGCGTTGTGTGTGGGAGGGCGGCCGTTCCGCTCCCGCTCAGGAAGGAAGACTTGTGTTCTCAGCGGGTACGTTTTGGGTTAGTACTTTCATTTTTGTTTTCCCGTTTGATTTCTGTATGTTATACAAAGATGTGTACGCGCTCCATCTGGTGGTCTTCTGTTTATCAGGATATGTCATTTTGTTTTCCTGTCTGAGGTATAATTCTATATCTCAATCAATATCTCCACAAGCAGAAAATAAGATAGCAAAGGTGCCCTCACTGACCTCTGTAGCTGCAGATATTGTGAAGCAATTCAGTCGCAAGAGAGTACAGTCCTTCAAGTCTGGTCTCTGCAACCTGCTCTATTCTCTTCCAGAGCTCCTGCCCTGTTATTAGAAGGATGGCTGCCTGCCAAGTTATTCATAGGCAGTAAATAAGATATCAAACGCGCCCTCACTGACCTCTGTAGCTGCAGATATTGTGAAGCAATTCTCAAAAGTCACAAGAGAGTACAGTAAAGTCCTTCAAGTCTGGTCTGTGGAACCTGCTCTATTCTCTTCCAGAGCTCCTGCCCTGTTATTAGAAGGATGGCTGCCTGCCAAGTTATTCATAGGCAGTAAATAAGATATCAAACGCGCCCTCACTGACCTCTGTAGCTGCAGATATTGTGAAGCAATTCTCAAAAGTCACAAGAGAGTACAGTAAAGTCCTTCAAGTCTGGTCTGTGGAACCTGCTCTATTCTCTTCCAGAGCTCCTGCCCTGTTATTAGAAGGATGGCTGCCTGCCAAGTTATTCATAGGCAGTAAATAAGATATCAAACGCGCCCTCACTGACCTCTGTAGCTGCAGATATTGTGAAGCAATTCTCAAAAGTCACAAGAGAGTACAGTAAAGTCCTTCAAGTCTGGTCTGTGGAACCTGCTCTATTCTCTTCCAGAGCTCCTGCCCTGTTATTAGAAGGATGGCTGCCTGCCAAGTTATTCATAGGCAGTAAATAAGATATCAAACGCGCCCTCACTGACCTCTGTAGCTGCAGATATTGTGAAGCAATTCTCAAAAGTCACAAGAGAGTACAGTAAAGTCCTTCAAGTCTGGTCTGTGGAACCTGCTCTATTCTCTTCCAGCGCTCCTGCTTAATTATTAGGATACTTAAGCAGGAGAACTGCCAAGTTCTTGATGGGAGAAGAGAGCTGAGTGGGAGTCACTGCTGGGAAGGGGAGCTGAGACACAAATGAAACCTAAAGTCGGAGTGCAGGGAGAGTAAGTTATACTCTCTCTCTCCACCTCCTCTCTCTCTCTCTCCCTCCACCTCTCTCTCCCCCTCCACCTCTCTCTCTCTCCCCCTCCACCTCT